TGTGTGTGTGTGTGTGTGTGTGTGTGTGTGTGTGTGTGTGTGTGTGTAGAGAGAGAGAGAGAGATAAAGAGCTGAAGTTACCCTCATGAAAAGGATAATCTTTAATTAATATAGGACAGGGATGTCCCAAACAAGTTGTGGCACACCATTTGTGACAGAGGTGACCACGAAGCTCCCACTATTCATGATTTTACTGTTTGCGTTACCTTTTGCTCCTCAGTTCTTACTTTGGTCTTTTTTTCAGCAACAGAGATTACAAGTGTATTCAGCAAAGAAAAACAAATCAAAAAGAGTAGATTACCTGAAAGGCCAGAGGGTCATTGCCAGATGTGAGGAGAATGGCTTCTATTTTCCAGGTATGTCTTTCAGTCTCATTTGCTAAACAGCCTGATCCTGAACACTGATGTTTCTGAGCCATGCTGAGATGTTCTGCTTCTCAAATAAAACAACCTTCTCTTTCTCCCCATAAGTGAGGCAAAAGAGTAGAAGAAAATGAAATTACTTTTCATGTCTCATTTGCATAGTGAACAAATTTCTGTCACAACCTACGATGGTTGCATATGTGTGTAATATTCTGAACATACCAGTCTACATTTATTTGTTTTATTTGTGAGGGGAGGGGTGGGCATGTGTACTGTTGGGGGGCTAGGCAGAAGACAAGGCAGAAGAATTGGTTTTCTGCTTCTACCATATGGATTTCGGGGATCAAACTCGGGTCATCAGGCTTGGCCGTCAGCACCTTAATCTCCCGGGTCACCTCACCAGTGCTGGAAGTGCCCCTGTAACACAGTGAACAAATACACAAATATTGTTGTCTTCAGGGAAGGTGGCTTCAAGAGGAGCCGCCAACACGTAAGAATACATAGCGTGTTAGATACAATACTGTTAGGGAAGAAAAAAAAATCAAGCCACAAAGAGGACTGAGTATTGAGGAGGCTACAATTCTAAATACCACTTAAGGAAGGCCCCCTCCCTCCGGGGAACTTGACAAGGACATAGGAGGGAGGTGACATGACACCATTAGATTAGCTGGGGGAAACGCTCAAAGCTGGACCTCAAGGGCCGCATTTCAGAAGTGCAGACAGCCTAGCACGGCTGACTTAGAGGGTGTACCCCAGGCAACCAGGGTGATGCCCTTCCTGAGGGAATCAGCCCTAGGAATTCAGAACAGAGGCGTGAAAGGGGCTTCGAGGGCAGTGAAAATAATACCCGGCAAGAGCGTGGGATGAGAAACAGTCCTGGAGACTGTGAAGAAGCTGTGTCTGGGGCCTGGACCACAAGACAACACCAGGAAACAAGAACGCTGTCTTGGTCAGGGTCACTGTTGCTGTGACGAAAGACCATGAGCAGAAGCTGGGTGGGGAGGAAAGGCTTATCCAGCTCACACTTCCACATCACAGGTCATCATCGAAGAAAGTCAGGGTAGGACCTCAAGCCAGGCAGGAGCCTGGAGGCAGGAACGGATGCACAGACCACGGAAGGGGCTGCTCACTGGCTTGCTCCCTGTGGCCTGCTCAACCTGCTTTCTTATAGAACCCAGGGCCTCCAGCCCAGGGCTGGCTCCGTGGATTAAGAAAGTGCCCACAGCTTGCCCGAGCTCATGGAGGCATTTTCTCCGTGAGGCTCCCTCCTCCCTGATGACCCCAGCGTGGTGCACAGAAGAGCTGGATGCACTTAGGTTCCACACCTTTTCCGGCCCTGCGGGGTCGAGGAGCCTTCTTTAAACTGGAGGCCGAGACTCCCACTGCAGAGCCAGTTTTTGTTTTTTAAAAATTTCAGACTTGTAAAAAAGTTACAAGAAAAATAGAGAATTCCTAACTTCTCTTTACCCAGATTTACCAATTTTCAATGTTTTGTCACACTTTATTATCTGTGTCTTTTACTTTTTCAAATTTCCACTTCCCCTCTCTACACAGAGACTCCCGCACTTGCGTGCACGCACGCACGCGCACGCGCGCACGCACACACACACACACACCATTTCTGAACTATTAGATAGCACTCATCACACGTCACAACTCTCTTTCTCTAACACAACCGCAGTAAAGTCGGCCTCCAGGGAACCTGAGGTCACCGCAGCGCTTGGCATGCATCCGCCTTTATTACCTGCCCCACAAAAGTGCCTTGCTCATTTCCTTTAGCACAGATCCTAATCCAGAGTCACGTGCCGCATTTGGTTAACAGGTACCCCTTAGTGCTTTTTGGAAACATGGGGTCTCACTGTGTGGCTCTGGCTGGCCTAGAACTCCCTCTGTAGACCAGGCTAGGCTCGAACTCACTGAGGTCCACCTGCCCCCGGCTAGGATGTAAGGTGTGTGCTACTGCACAAAGCTCCTTCATCTAGAATTTATTTTTTTTTTAATTTTGGTATAAACGTTCATGGTATTAACATTAAAAACGATGGTGGTTACTGGATGGCCTTACTCAATTTGCTTTAGCTTAGGGTCGGTGTATACACTCCTGCCCAGAAGACAACCCAGGTGACGTCACTCAGGGGCCATCCTGTCCAGAAATGTGTGATGTCCATCTGTCCTCTGTAGCCATAGTAACCTGGACTGTATGGTTGCTGTGAGTTTGCAATTTATTCTCTTAAAAAAAAAATGTCAGTCAGGCTTGGTGGCGCACACCTATAATCCCAGCAATCAGGGAGGCAGAGGCAGGCAGATCTCTGTGAGTTCAAGGCCAGCCTGGTCCACAGAAGGAGTTCCAGGCCAGGCAGAGCTACAAAATGGGACCCCACTGCTAAATAAATCAAATTACAAAATTTAAAAATATATGTAATATTCTCTCTGAGTAAACTAAAAAGACAAACTCTTCGCCACTGTTCTCTTTTCTTTCCTTTTTTGGAAAAGCCATGGGGTGTGTCTAGGCTGATAACCTTTTCATTTATCTACTATCAAGTAAAAAGCTGATGGAGGCGGGCATTTCTATTTCCTCTTTGCTTTCACAATTTGGCAGTATCTACCTTCAGTCTCTGACAGACATAGAACTAGAATAAACAGATAAGGAGGTTTGGTGACAGGGATGCGCAGGAGGAAGATGCTTCTAGAACCATCAGCAGGACGGATATGGCTGGTGCTGGATGACTGAGCTGCCCTGTGCCTCTGCACCCGGAACGCCCTATTTCTCTACCTTGTGTGCAGCCCCAGAAGGTGCCAAGCTGTACCTGATCAAAAGGGTGGAAACAGGCGGATGCTATGATTCAGCACAGACCGCCGGGGTGGAGCCAGCCTGCTGTTGACATCATATTTTGTGTCTCCTGACTCTTCTAGGGGTTGTGAAGAAATGTGTGAGTCCTACGGAGGCCCTAGTAGATTTCAAGTATGGAGACACCAAGATTGTGCCCATCTCCTTCATCACACCTGTTGGGGGCGCCATGCCCTGCCCGCCACTTCAGGTACTTACTCTGTGATCCCTTCCGGTTCCCCACCTGTGGGTCACAAGCCTTTTGGCGGGGGGTGGGGGGGATGGAGGAGGAGTCAAATGACCCTTTCCGTTGTGTTATAATTCATAACAGTTGCAAATTGCAGTTCTGAAGTAGCAAGGAAATAGGTTTGTGGTTGGGGGTCAGCACAGCATGAGGAAGCACAGCATTAGGGAGGCTGAGAACCACCGCTCTCCACTGCCCACGGGGTTTGGGTGGAAGGGGAGGGAAGGTCCCTGTGGGGCCCGCCTGGGCTCCTGCAGGGAGCCTGTGCTTTGGCAGGAAGGGCGGCCGTTTTCCAGTCTCCAGCCCTTGGTAATTTCTCCGCCTGTGACTAATGTGCCCGCCCCCTCCTAAGTAGCTGACCTCTGTGGACGTGGCTTATGTACTGTCCTGTGACACTTATCACAAGGGGGAAGGAAACTGGGGCTCCCAGTGCTCCCCCAGGCTTTCACTGCAAAGACCGTATTGCATTATGTGCGTCAGTGATAGAACTAGCAACTTCCGTGACCTTGTGGGCAGCCGCTGCAGACCTGTCATAATGCAGTGAGCCGAGTGGGACTTCCACAGACGAGACAGACGAATATGTTCTCATCTGATTACAGATGCATAAGCCTCACACTGTGTCTGACCCATCCGCCTGCCACCGCCTCGACACTGAGACGGGATGGCAAGGCACGGAGGGAAAGCCTTTCGAAGCCTCGTGCTGCTGTGTCCTACATGGTGCAAGCCAGGGAGGTTAGCCGTGATCTGCTCCTACTTGCTGGGCCAGACCCACAGCGCGCCTCCTGCACCTTTCGCAAAACCTGTACCTGTGTGTCACCTTCACCATGGATTCCCACGTCTGTGCTTGGGACTGACATTCACCAAACCCATGCCTTTCCTTTGTCTGGGGGACAGCCCTTCTAAGACTGAGGACACAGTCCCCATGTCTTTATAGCAAACACCCTAGACAGTCTGGTCTTTGGGTCTACCAATCTCCGAGAGTTCCAGAACCCTCACCATCTTGCTGACTGGCCCCGAACCCTTTCTAGTTGCCAGGTTCTGACCCAAACTGGGTTTTCCAAAGTCCTCACAGAATTGCAGGTGTGGAGCAATGAGCTGAAAGAATTCCAAACCCTTTCTTATGTGATTTTCACCAAAGCTCTGTGAATTTATTATAGAGCTGCCAGCCGTCTGGGGTTGTTTTGAAGCAAGCTTGTATTAAATCATGAATGAGCCCTGGAAGCATAATCCTTTGATGTGAATGATCCTGTGCTCTCCTCTACAGGTTGGGGATTACGTGTTTGCCAAAATCGTGACGAGCAAAGGCTTTGACTTCTACGTCCCTGCCATCGTTATAGCTCTTCCAAATCAGAATGTGGCATCAGAGAAATTCTATACAGTTTTGAAGTGTAACAACCGCAGAGTAAGCGTCCACCCAGAGAAGGGCTTCCCCGCTGGGCGGAAGGTGGCTGGAATCTGGGGGGGACATGGCTGTCTGCTCCCTCTACTCGAACACCCCAGGCTGAGAGCATCATGGCCTCCTTGCTTCTGGATGGGAGGGGTCCCTTGGGCTTTCCTCGCCAAACTGCAGTTGACAGCTGGCCAGGCTCACTCTGGGCTCTCTCTCTTGCTCTTTCCCTCTCCCTTCCCCCTCCCCCCCACTCTGTATGGTGTGCATGTGTCTACAGGCATGCTCAGATGTGTGTCTTCCTCCATCATCCTCTGCAGAGCCTGTTGCTCAGCCACTCAGCTAGTCTAGCTAGCCAGAGATCCCATCTCCACCATTAAAGTACACCAGGATCTCAGAAGGAATGCCCTGCCTATGTAGCCCCGAGGGGTCCAAGCTCCCCTCCCGCTTGCTCGGCAATCTCTGTGCACTGAGCCATCTCCCCACATCTGGGAGCCCCTCTGTGTGTGCCTCCTGGGCTCCTCTGCAAGCACCGCAGATACAGGGCACCTCCTGGGCCCTTCTCAGCCTTGTCCTCCTCTGCCACCTCACGGTCTGTCTGTCCGATGAGCGTGCCTGGGTGTGTGGTGCCACTGGAGAAGGTCTACATGGGAGAAAGCAAGCCAGGGACATGTGAAATGATGTGTGAGGCATGCCTCAGGGGCAGGGAGAGAGGCACTGGAGGCGGCCTGAGGTCCCGAAGAAAGATCTCAGATTGCAGATCTCAGTGCAGGAAGGCTCTGGAGGCCAGAATGCTACAGTCAGGGGAAAGGACAGGGGAGAGTGCGCTCACAAGGATTCTGGGAAACCTCACGAGGGAAAGCAGGACTTTCAGCAACAGGGTCATGGTCACAGCCGTCCAGAAAAGAGGTGGCTGGTACTGGAACAGAGATAGAAAGGTGGGGGGGGGGGGGGGGTGCACGCCTGTTCATGTGTGTGAATCTGTGTCTGTGTATATATTTGTGTGTCCAAGCGCAACTACCCTGACTTGGCACTGGTAGACTTGGCACTTGACCTAGAATGGAGAGGAATGACAGCGAGGAATAAATGACTTTCATTCAGCAGAAAAGTAAACTGCAAGGCTCTGAACCTAACCTGCTCTCCTGAGCGGCACCCCGGAGAGGGTGATGACTAGTAGCTATGTTCACAAATCGGGGGGGGGGGGGCTCCTTGGGTTCCATGATGTGACCTCTTTTGGTGTGATTACAGGAATTCTGCCCTCGGAGCGCACTTATTAAGATCAGCCAGAACAAGTATGCTGTCTCTTGCTCTCAGATAAAATCATCCCCCGCTGAGAAGAACCATTTAGTGTGAGTACACCCAACTCCCACCCCCTAAATGTCAGCTCACGTCTTAGCACCTTTAATGGATTGCTGCTGAGATCTATACCCTCTGGGTCCCAGGGGAGGGGGTGGAGAAGGAAGACTCAGTTCTGTGGTCACTTATCCGTCACTGTCCTCCCATTGACCTGCTGCCTGCCACTCTGTCCGGCTCTAATCTCGGAGTCAGCATTATTTCTGTGGCCTTTCATAAGAACATTCACTCCTGCCATGCAAAGGAAGAGATTGCTCCCTTTCTGTGTGTAAGAATTCAAGGCCTTCAGGTTAAACCTCACTTGGGAAACCTCCCTTGGGAACTGTCCCCTAACTGTCCCTTCCATACAGGGAAGGGGGCGTGAGGTGCTGCCGTGGCTTCACAGACGAGTGTGTTGGTGGGTGATTCGGGGCTCCCGGGGTCTACAGTGGGGTCATGAAATCTCCACCTGAGGCAGTGGAGTTACTGAGATCTGCAGGCAGACTGGCCCAGCATCAATAGGAAAGGCTTGAGGCCTGAAGACCAGATACAAAAAGGCCATGGGGCCAGCAAAATCAGAGTTGAAGTCACAGGGCCATGACCTCAGATTGAAAGGCATGTAAAGAAGAGGCAAATGTGAGATTCGAACAAGGGTCATGGGGGGGGGGTGAGAAACACCTTCCCATCTCACAGAGCACATGTGTGGTTTGGAGGAGCGAACCCTTTTGTTCTGTGGGTAGCCTTTGACCTTCATCTTCATTACAGAAGCGAAACACTTTGTTTCCCCGAGCTGTGGGCATGTGGGACTCTTAACCTTTCTCTGTGATGTCAAAAAAAAATTAGTGTCGCTCATCCCATTGAAAACTGATCTGCCCACCATTTTGGAGGTCCATCCTTCCATGCCCTGTGTCCTTCCTTTGTGGATGATCCCTGCCTTCCACTGTCCTCTTTCCTTAGCTTCCCCCGTGAAACCTTCACCTCAGGAGGAAAAACAAGTTTGCCCATGAATTTATGCACAATGTACATATATGTGCCTATACGTCTTCTCTCTCTCTCTCTCTCTTTCTCTCTCTCTCTCTCTCTCTCTCTGTGTGTGTGTGTGTGTGTGTGTCTAGTACAGTCTAGCTCACACTTCCCTTCTCTGCCAATCTTCTGAAGCTTTGGATAATCTTGTCTCCATGTAGTTCCCCCTCTAGCCTTCCCTAAACCGTGGATAGCCGTTTCCCCTATACCCCTTAGCAGAAAGGGGTCTCACAGAGCCCACTGAGGCGGCTCACATGTCCCAGCCACCACGGCATTGCGCCTGTGAACCTTCCCTCTCAAGCCTGCCATTGCTCTCCGGGGTGTCTCTGCCTGGTTTCATCTACACCCTTGCTCCCATGATGCTACTTGCACCAAGGACCCCCATGCCTCTGTCTAACCCAGTCTGTGGCTCAGTGTCAGGATTGAAACCCCTGGGAAGGGACCTACAGGAAGTCCTTCTAAAAGCTGCACAGGAGTATAACAGGCAGCTGTGGCAGGTAACTACAGCGGAAAGGGCATTTCAGAAACTAAGTCTTAGATCCATATCCTGCCCAGCTAGGGCTAGAACACCAAGATGGGACTGTTCACAGTTTTGCCTGGCACAGTGTCAGTGTTCTGCACATAGTGGGAATGGCATCCCTCCCAACTGCTTACTGGATTGTGTGTATGTGTGTGTGTGTGTGTGTGTGTGTGTGTGTGTGCGTGAGTGTGCGCGAGCTCCCAGGATCCCCCTGTCTCTACTCTGCAACACAAGGGTTATGGGCACATGCAACTACGCCCAACTTTTATGTAGTTGCCAGGAGTTTGACTGCAAGTCTTCCTGCTTTCATCATAGGCCACCTCCCCAGCCCCCAGTGAGTTTCACACATGGCATTACAGCAGTCCCAATTCAATACACCCAGACGGAGCTCAGTGCCCACACCAGCTCCCTTGTCTCAGCTCACCTTCCTGCCCATGAGTCACGGAATTGAACTCTGCTAGTCACTCACCACACCCCACCTGCCTCCGGGTTACTGTGAGCCAAGCTTGGAGATGTTTCTCAGCTCTTTTGTAGCTCAGCGCTTCGGGTGGAAGCTTTGAATCACTCCAGTCTAGGCCTGCCCCAAACCCAGGCATGCTCCCTCTGGGCTCAACTGACTAATCTTCTTTGAATGCAAATTCTTATACCATCTCCCTCACCTAAAAATGCTCAGATCCCACCCCCTTCTGCGCCCCCTCTTATCCTAACTCTCATTAGTGTGGTGTAGCCTGCCTCCCCGGCCTCCCTTGTTCCTAGTCACTTCAAGCTAGCCCTCCAGGGCATGCTTTTCTCAGGTCTCCGTGCTTGGCATGAGCGATGTGCTGCTTTCCCAGGACGCGCTCCCTTAGCCACCTGGGAAATTCCACGGCTGGACTCAAGCATTCCCACTACCATGAAACGTCCTGGCACCTAGCCAGCTTCTCCCAAGGTGGGACTTCGTCCTCTGCTGCATCTTCTGTGCCAGACTGCGCCTCAGTCCACTTTGTCACCATAACAAAATGCCTAAGGCCAAGAACGTTTCAAAGAGAAGTCCTCAATGGCCAAATTGTCTCCTGCTGGGTCTCCCCTTTTAAAGGACACATCGCCTCCACATGGACACATTGAAAACTACCCCTACAGTGTATGAACCTTTGGAGAAAAGTATTTTTTTTAAAGCTCCAGTCCATGATAAAGGAATATGGATATTAGTCTAGGTGTTGACTATTTTCACTGAACTCAACATTATCATTAATCATTTGTAATTAAAATCCATCTCTCTATGAAGACAAACCTTTGTTTTCTACATTCCCTGGGCCTTGTTTAAATTTCTCAGCTGCTAATTATCTACTCTTGCCCCTAGCATTTCACACGGGAGATATGTTCATTGACTCTCTAATTTCTCCCCCCTCCCCCTCTCAATGCTTTCCTACAAGCAACAAACTGAGTTTAATTTTCCTAATCAGGGGCCATCATCAACCTGCTAATTCCAGGGCTTTAGCAGTCTCTTCTTCCATAACCAGGGCTGAGCACAAGAATGAACCGTAGTTGTTTTCTAGTCTCTGCCTTTCTTTTGCATCTTCCGCTGGTACCTAATTTTCCCCTAATCACATGCCATCTCCTTTTGTCGTGAGTCCTCAGGCCATTATACCAAACAGGCCATTATTGAGAATCTTCATTCTCATGTTCATGTGTCATGAAAGAAATGTACCATGGGGCTTGATTCCAACAGGACAATAGTTTCAGGCTCTGACTCATCACATCCACCAATTCAGGGGTAATCAGCCAGGGTCCCTCACCTTCAGACACCTGGGTAGGGCAGCAGGCGCCACGTCTTGGTTTTTATCATCTTGCCCTCCTCTCTTTCTTCTTGGGGCCTTCAACTGTGCCTAACTGTACTTCCCGCAGACAGATCCTCTCCTGGTCCTCCATGGAAGGGTGGTATGCTGTGAAAGATGGAAAGGAAGCTAGTCAGAAGAATGCTGAGAGCAAAACCAACCAACTAGGTTCCGTGCTGTTTCTCACTTCCAACCAGTGGGTGACAGCTAAGTGACTCTTAGAGACTCTGATAAGATCGGCTTGCAAAAACAGCTCGTCCTGTTAGCAAAAGTCCAGCTCTTGAAGGGCAGCCCCGGCGTCACTTTGCCACAGGAAATGTGTGACACGGCTGCCAGCTGATGCTTTTCTCCTGTGTCCCCCACTGAGTAGGTCTGCTGAGGGGACATGGCTTCTCTTCCTTCCCTTCTTGCAGTGTCCCTGAGCTTCAGACAGGCCCTTTCTGAGTGAAAACAGTCTCTAAGCAGTCCAGAACATTCACTTCAAGAAGACATGTGTGATTTCTCTCATGACCTCAGGAACTCGAAGAAGCAAGCGAACAGGAGGAACCGCCCACCGACCAACTCCCATTCGGCATCCTCTGTCCTCAACCAAGCAGAGACATTCCTGACTGCCTCTCTTGGGGTCCTGCTCCTTCCTATCAGATCTCTGTGGCCCCCGATTGCTGCAGGGGGAGGTACCTGATATGTTTAATGCTCTGGTTTCTGGTTTTCTCCCCTCAGGGAAATCACTTCAACCCAGGTGTTACAAAGCTATCTCTAGGCTGGGGCGTCATCTGGCAGGCCTGAGCAGAATTCACACACCTGGTGCCCTGTAGCTGGCTGCAGATCCCTCCAGTAAAGCTGGGGTCTACCCTGCACGCCTGACAGAGCAAGGCCCGGGCAAGTCAGCCCTCCAGAAAAAAATGTTCTCTTGAAGAGCGCTTGTGATCTCGTAATCATAAAAACAAGAATAGCAAGACGGTAGTGACAATATCCCAAATGTGGTTTCAGGAAGGCCTGGTGGGGCACATCATGTTCTTTGGGCTCCAGAAAAATCCGTCCAGTGGGAAGGAAAGCCAGGCAGCTGACGGGAAGGGACTTTTTTCTCTCTTGCTTCTCGATCGTCGCTGTGTGGTCTCAGTGCCACTGCTGTGTGTGAGACTGCCAGGAGGAAGGCTTTTCCCGGACTTGGGGGCGGCTTGTTTGAGTCTGTGGTCCGTGGTCAGCTTGCTAGCCCCTAATGCACAAGCATTAGCCTCCCGATGTGTCTCCTCCGAACAGCTTTGTGACTTCCGTGGCTGGGAGCGTATGTTTCCGGGGGAGTGGTGATTCTCTAGTGATCCAGTCTCCCTCCTGGACACTGAGGAGGAGCCCCACACTGCTTTCTCCTCAGCAGTGGGCTTCGCTCACTGACTGAGACACAAAGGCTCAGAGCAGCTTCTGGCATTGCGTGGACACATTGCTTCCCTCACTCTGCCGTGGCCCCTCCTGGCAGGGTTTCCCTGGCGGCGAGCTGGGTGCTAGAAATCCCTTCTTCCCTGCAGTCAGGTGACAGGCCATTTCCTCTCCTGCAGCTGAGCCTTGAAAAATAAGCGAGCCAGCAATAACCTCAGCCTGTGCGTATCTATGGTGTCCATATGGACAAAGGCCATTGCCTACTTCCAAAAAGAACACTATGGTGTCCTCAGAGTCCCTGAGACTCTCAGATCAATGGTGTCAGTCTCTTGATCTGCCCCGTCAGTTGTCAATTTGGAGGTCTTCTGGTCCCCTTATGACATCAGTCTGGTGCCTGTTCATAGCCCAAGAGACACTGGGGACAGTGGACAGTGTAGAAAGAGACTACAAAGTTTGATCAACTGAATAGATGGATTTTTACCCCAGAAAAAAAAAAATGTAGCATGGTTTCTCGGCACTTTCTCCCTAGAAGTGAGACCAGAGCCTTCTAAAGAGCCAGTTAAGACATGGCACCTGGCTCCTCATTCTGTCCCACTGTGCCTACATTTTGATTCTGTTTACCATATTACTGTTTGCACATCCCTAATCCAAAAATAAAAAATCTGACATACTCAGAAATGAGAAACTTTTTTTTTTTTTTTTTTTTAGAACAAACACGATGCCACAAGGAGAAGGCTTCACACCGGTCTCAGGAGTTAGGTTATAGTCACAGTTCAGAGGCACCAGAGAGAGAGACTGTACAGCAGCTTACACAGGGGGCATAAAGGCACCAAAGAGAGAGAGTGTACACAGGCTTACATAGGGTGCAGAAAGGCGTGTGGGAAACACAGGTGAACTTCATGTTTAGACTTGTGTTCCATCTGCAAGGCATCTCATTACATACGCACAAAAAGTCCAAAGTCTGGACCACTTCTGACCCTGAAGATCTCAGATAAGGGGTACTTAACCCTGTATTCAGTCAAATTATAACCTAACACAATACATCACCTAATTGAATGCTGCTTTAGTGTGACGCTGGACAAAATAAAGCCATGTGGTCATGTCCAGTTGCAGTTGTCATGGCAGAACTTCCTGCCTCCATAGTGGTTGTGGCCAAGCAGAGGGAGGGAGAGGAGGAGGGCAGGGAAAAGCTTGTAAGCGGTCCTGTGCGCACACACGTGGCGCACTTAAATACATTCAGGCAAAATACCCGTAACATAAAAGTAATGAATAACTCCTTAAACAAAAGCAGCTTTCTCCTGATAAAACCTCCTCTTTGTTCTAACCATGACAACTTGTCTTGTTCTGTTCTTGTTCCAAAAGGAATGCACAGTTAATATTACTTATAAATTAAAAACAACTGGAAACCTTTTAAATCCATAGTCTAACGCGTCAACAATAATAATTGCACTTTGGCATGTACTCTTACAGAGTTTTTTCATCTGCTGTGTTGATTCATATTTTCCTTCAAAGCCAAAAGCTTTTTTTGTTTTGTTTTGTTTTTCTTTAAGTGTGGGGGCTGTGGGGATGAAGAGGTGGTTAAGAGCACCAGCTCTTCTTTCAGAGGGCTCAGGTTCCATGCCCAGCACCCACACAGTGGCTCACCCTGTCCATATCTCTAGCCCCAGGGGATCCCACCCCCTCCTCTGGCCGCCACAGTCACCAGGCACACATGTGGTATGCAGACATACATGCAGGCAAAACACCCCCACACACATAAAAGTAAATAAACAAATGCATTTTAATGTAAAAAGTGGGGAAGGGAACGTATCAATTCTACCGGAGTCCATTTCCCAGAGGCGACTGTTTCTAATTTACTTCAAGATGTCTAGTCTTCGTTGACTATTCACAACCCTAATAGCAAACATGAAAATATATGTATTCTCTTTTGAAACATTTTTCGGTCACTAATGTGTTCGTTACCTCTTTCCATAATGGAACACCTGCTGTTTCATTATTGACCGCCAAAATTCCATTACTAGGCGGCCTAGAACTCTGTTCTTGTGACCAGGCCCTGCCAAAGCTATACATTTACTGCTTCGCGGCCCCTCTCTCCCTCCCACCTCGGTCCCCGCAGGCAGGTAGGCCGGTTGCTCTGCTTACTCTAACATACCTGGAGAACCCCCTGCCACTCTTCCCTTGCTCGTAGCCCCAAGAAGCTGTGTGTTACAAAACCTACAATCAGTGCTGATGGATGTCAGTGGGGAAAAACAAGATAGAGCCAACTTAGCTCTGAGGGAGGAGGCAGAGCGAAGTGGCCAGGTGTGGATGGCACAGAGCAGGTGTCCCCAGTGGACACCTGGAGTGTGGCCTCTGTTTCTCTAGGCACCTGTCACCTCAGAGCTTTGACATGTGCACAAGCTCCGACCTCACATATGATAGTTTGTGTGCGGAGTCCAGGAAAGCTTTTTTTTTTTTTTAATTCCACTATTCCTTAGGCCAATTTTTTCACCTCCCTTGGGAATTCCTTTCCCGAGTCTGCAAATAATCACACGTGATGAAATCTTAACCCATTACGGAGTGATTTGAATGATGCACTTTTCTATTTGAAATTAACTGAAGGCCTTTTCCCAGCTCATCTTCTTCTCTGACATGGTCCAGAAGCATTGGAAGCAATAATGATCCGAGGTTAATTAGGGCAAAAACAAAACAAAAACGATTCTGAGTGGAGGCAAGGGTGATCAAGATGACTGATGAAGGATTGTGAAAGAAAAGTGACATTTAAACCCAGGCGTTTAGTTCTCTTTAGAACAGCCTGAAGCTCCTGAAAAAGAGAAATGGTCGAATCAGTGGGCCATGGTGAGGGGGCTAGAATGAGGTCATGGCATTCTCAAGCTGCCTTCCCTGAAGAGAAGCCAACACTCGTTGAAAATAGGCTTCGTCCGGTGTATTTTCTAAAGAAGTCTCAATTTATGGCATCGTCGTCATGCCTGCGTTTTTCTATTAAATGCAATTAAAAGTCGCATCGCTGTCGGTGTTTGGGAAAGTGCTTCTGACGGTGCACCTTGAGAAACCCACATCATTTGAGAAACCCAGGGCTATGGGAGCTAGTCAGCATCTAAAACTCCAGGGCAGGGACGGGCGAGCAGCGACAGAGCCAGCCTGGTGCGTTTGTGGGGTTCAGTGGGCAGCGCTGAAGACACGCGCGGGGAGGGGGCGGGGCACCTGAGTTAGTTGTTTGTGGACTGACCGCGTGGGGACTGGGTCCGTGTGGCGTGGGGCTCCGGTGTGTGGGGCTGCGCGAAGTGAGCCCGAAGTGTCCAACCCTCCGGGCTGCGGACCAGGCTGGGCCTAACAGCGCTCTCCATCTCTCTCCATCTCTCCCCCGCCCCTCTAGAAAGGAAGCAGAGACAAGTAACACTTCCCCTCTCTGGACGGTGATCGAAGAAGACTCTGGGGAGACCAAACAGCGACACGAGAACCTTAGCAAAAAGAAAAAGGAGCCCACCAAGAGGTCGCCTCTCCAGGAGATGCTCTCAGATTCCGACGGCTCTTCCCATGGCACCAGGTCCCCAGAGTGTGCCCCCACCAAGCCCCCAGAGCGCGCCCCCTCCCCTGAGCCCGAGGTTGGGGGTTGGGAGGCGCCCTGAGCCTGGCTGACGCTTCGAAGCCTCCATCAAGAATAGTGTATGTAAGAGCGCGTCCCCTCCCCTCCCCCAGTTTTCCAAGCCAGCGTAGGTCCCAGCACAACAAAAACACCACCGCCGCCACCACCGCCACCCCCCACCCCCCCCCCCCCCCCCCCCCCCCCCCCCCCCCCCCCAGTCATACTGACATCCACTTTCCCAGAGAAGGCTCTCGGACCATGGCCTACGATGCTGCCGACCTCGCCTCCGCAACCACACCAGGAGCACCCCCGCCCTGACCAGAGTCCAGGCACCCACAGCTCAAGGGGCTGCGGATGGGGCGCGGAAGACCCTTACCGCACCCTAGTGGCAGCAAGCGTTAAGCATGCCACGGTCCTCCAGGTTGCCTAGGCCCCAGCCTCTGGACCCCGCGGAGCAAGCTGCTCTGCCGAGGTAAGGCTTGCCTTCCCGGGCTGAGAGCCAGCTCCCCCTCCCCCGGCCTAGCTCTCTACTGTTTCAGTCTAGGGATTTTCCGACCATTCCACACACACACACACATACACACAGGTCCCCACAAAATTATTCTCTGCCTTCTGATACCCTCTGCAAACGGGCCGCCCTAGCCTGACAGGCTGCTGTTGGAATGTTCGAGGTTCTTTGAGGGGTCCACACCCACGATCTCATTTCAAGCTGGTTCTTCCTTTTGTCACACAATGTGAAGACTGAAATTAAGAGTTGGTTGGTAGATTGTCTGAGACCTGTAAGATTGAGCATCCTCCATGTTACTGTTTTCTGAATTTTTTTTTTTTTTTAATTTTGAGCCCTTCCTAATTGACATTGTCTGTAGTCTGTTGTAGGTACCTCTAACTGAGTGCAGAGCCTGAATAAACTCTCCTACATTGAAAACATTGTTCTGGTTGCTCATTGCTGCCTCCTCCTCCTCCTCCCCTACCCCTCTCTGTCTCTGTCTCTCTCTGTGTGTATGTGTGTCTTTGTCTCTTCTGCTTTTTATTTGTGACAGGGTTTCTCTGTGTAGCCCTGGCTGTCCTGGAACCAGGCTGACCTTCAACTCAGAGCTCCACCTGCCTCTGCCTCCCAAGCGCTGGGATTAAAGGCTGCACCACCACCGCCCTGCTTGCTCCTGTCTTCTTCCAACACAGTTTAGTAGCATCGTATCAAAGTATTCAGCCCTGCTCCCTAGCTTCAAAGCTGAACTAGCTCTCAGAGCCTCCCTTTTCTTGGGGTAACAGTCCTTGGGCTATTTAAAAAAAAAAAAAAGTACAAGCTACCAATAAGAAACGTCAGAGACCTTTGAAAAAATAGAAAAGATAGAAGGAGTTTTGATATTCAAAAGGTGCACAAGCTAACTAAACATGGTGTTCATATTCCTGAAAGCTAACACTGAAGAAATGAGAGGAGGAGAAACCCACTTCCAAAAATCATGGGAGAATGAGGAGCGCCGCTCAGCCTGAGGCTTGAAAACAAAAGAGTTTTGAGGAGTGAGTGAAAGTGAGAGGCAAGAGCAGGAGAGGAGCCTGTGGGAGGCCGGGGCCCTGCTGCCCCCTGAAGCAGATGTCCTCGCCAGTCTGAGAGGAAAGCCTGAAGGGCGAGGTAGGGGGCCGGGAAGGCCGTCAGCCCCTGAAAGCATGGACGCCCTCCTGGTTCCTTCAGTCGCTCAACCATTGCTCAGCTGGCAAGCACCCAGGCTTCAGGACAGTCCGAGGCCATTGTACTCGTCTCTCCACTTCCATGTTCTTGGGTTTTTATTCCTTCTTCTTTTTTTTCTTTAGACAATTTTGTTTTGATGGGCCACAAGGAACAAAAACCTATAGAGAAGCCGTTCACCCTCATGTCAGCCGACCTCGGGATGTTATTTATGTCAGGGAGGGTCTCAGCTCCTCTGTGGGCTGAATATCTGATATTTCTCTTAAACATTCACTTTGACCTCCTTTCCTTGAAAGTATAACCTGTCAGTCCACATCACGTTTCTCCATCTAGACTAGAAGCAAGCATAATAAATGGGAAGGTGGGCGGAGTCAGCAGCCTCTTGATGGTTTGTAGACCGAAGATTTATCATCAAAACACACTAAGAGCCTGAACGAAGTATCTACAATCGTTTGTGCGTCGGCCTCCTAAGGCGCCTCAGCACCAAACTTTAGGAGTGTGTTTTCCTTTCGCTCTTCCTCTATTGTGTGTATATTTGCCTGCATGTGTGTGTGTATACCATACGTGCGCCTGCGGAGGCCGGAGGAAGGAACTGGAGCCCCTGGAACAGGAGGACAGGCAGCTGTGAGCCCCCTCGTGAGTGCTGGGAACGGAGCCTGGGTCTTCTGAGAGAGCAACCAGTGCTCTTGACCCCTGAGCCATCTTCCCAGGCCCAACTTTAGGGGCATGGCAATCAATGAAGTCATCTTAATAATAAGCACAGAGATGCAGAAGGAAACTTACCACTAATTATACCACGGCAAGATGGTTCAGAAAAACGAAAAGAAAGTTGGTCGGGTGAGTCAGATTCTTCACCTGCAGCGGACTGCACAAGCGCCTGGTATGCTGATTTGGCGGGAACCACAAGCCTTGACAGTCGACACAGCCATTGAAAAACAGAGTTTATGGTGATGACATGAGGCCTTTCTCAGGATAATGTACAAAACCGGGGCTGAGAGATGCAACCGTAGGCATGATCGTCGTTTGTTCAGGCGGAATGGCTCAGCGTCAGGTCACACTTGCTCTTAACGTCCCTCACATCCCGGCTTCTGGAGCGGCCCCTAGCTGCAGAGGCTCTTTCACTCTCCCTCCCAGGGACTTCATTAGGAGCTGCGTGTTCCGGTAATTTAGTCTCAGGACTGCTTTGGGAGGATGGGGTGCTTGGCATAATTAAATAAAGCTGTTCTTCTACCTTCTTTCCTATCTCTCTCTGTATATATTCTCAACCTGGTGCCTGCTAGAGAAATACCTCCTTTGCGGTTCTTCTGTGATGGAGATCCGTTAAACGATTTAAAAACCCCATTAAATTCTACCAACTCCTCCCCACAGCGTATCTCCTCCCTGGGCACTCCCCTGCTTGCCCATTCACGCGTGAATATTTGTGTGTTTGTGTTGTTCTAGCCACTTCTGGGGAAGCCTCCAGGGTTGGGTGTTTTGTTTGTTTTTGTTTTTGTTTTTGTTTTTTTGTTTTTTTGTTTTTTTTTTGGCTTACTCCCAATTTATCTGGGATTTTATCAGCCCTCTGTGTTTGTTACCAGGGCCATCTTCTGAACCTGGCAAGTGTATGACTAGAAGCCTTTGCTTTTGCTGCAAGGGCCAGGTGCCTCATGCCCCTTGGGTGAGTTTTTCACCGTATACTAACATGCCAGGCAGCATTCACTGCCCACAGCCTAGCACCACCTGGGGAAAAACAGTCTCCGCTGAGAAGTCTTTATCAGGCTGGTCTGTGTCTATGAAGGATTGTCTTGGTGGTTTGTGCGGAAGGCTCTGACCCACCGTGAGGGGTGCCATTCCCTAGGCATGTGGTCCCAGGAAGTGTAAGGAGGCTAAGCATGAGCCCGAGCACGCCAGCAAGCAGTGCTCCTCCACAGTTCATGCTTCCGGGTTCCTGGCTTGTGTTCTAACCTGGTCTCTCCATGATGGGCTGAACCCAAATTTGTAAGCCAAAAACCGCCCCCCCGCCCCTGATTGCTTTATCACAGCAACAAAGAGGAAAATAAAACAATGATGGTAAAACCGCACAATGCACCATCTTCCCATTTTTTATTGTTCTGTTCCGTATTAAAGAATGCATTATCTGTAAATTCAAACTCTAGGCCACAGGGTGAAGGACGTTAGAGTATGTCACTGTAGACAAAAGACAATTATCTTGTTTGTGAGAGTTCCAGAATATACCGGAAAAGAATGAGATCATGAAGAGATCATCTATAATCAGATCTCAAACCTCAGTTGCTGCTATTTTAACTCTTCATTGAAAAATAGTTCTGCGTAAAACAAATATTGTCTCTACAGTGGCAGCCTTCACTGGAAGGTGTGGCTTTTTTTTTTAAAGAATTGTGTGTGGGGGCATTTTTGTTTGCATGGACGTCTATGTACCATGTGTATGCCTGATACCCATGGGGGCTAGTGGAGGGTGCCAGACCCCAACACCTAGAGCTACAGGTGGTTGAGAGGCACCATATGGGCACCGGGAACTGAACCTGGGCGCTCAGCAAAAGCAGCAAGTGCTCTTACACACTGAACCATCTCTTCAGGCCCTGTACTAGAACCCTTGACTCTTCAGCTGGAGAAGGGCCTCAGCAAGTCTCCAAAATGAGATGCTCTCTCTCTCTCTCTCTCTCTCTCTCCTTTTTCTTCAGTATCCCCATAATTGTCCTTGTCTTTCTATCCTGCTTCAGTTGTTGTTTCAGAAGTAGTGTTGCCACAGTGGGGACCTGCACGTGGTCCTTTCGGGAAAGCTACGCTGCTTTCAACCTCTGCCTGGGAGCTTTTAGAGGTGACCTCTAGCAAGTGGATTCAGCCTCAGAAGCCTTTGTGTGTGTTTCTGCACATATGTAAGTGATCCCCTGCTGCTAGGAGTCCAGGTAACTCTCACTCCCTTCCTGAAGAGGAATCCAGAAACCATGGGGTGGGGGTCACAGTTAGCTTCTGCATGCACAGACAGGCTCCACACCTGAGGCCTGAACCAGCCTCAGCTAGAAAGTATGCAGGAAAAATTCATCTGTACTAACACGTGCAGGCTTCATTCTTGTTTCCCCCTGAGGAATGCACCCTAACACCTGGTTACATAGCATTCACGTGGCATTAAGAATTGTGTCATCTACAAACTTTAAATCTCCCTACAAGAGATGGACGCATCATCCTGTGCAAATATCACACCATGTCTTACAAGGGACTTAAGCAGCCTCGAAGCTTTCACAAGGGTCCCAGAACCACCACACTGAAGGACCACCCACAGTGGAAGCTTTAAAGGGTTGAAGCTTTAATGTGTCCCTAAGTGGCCCTATTGACAACACAGGCTTGGAAGCCCCATTCCCAAAGACACACAATCAGTGCTCCTGAGGCCCGGCCTGCCTTTCCGTGTACCCACCTTTTCCTCTGCCCTCTCTGAACTCTCATTTACCCCTTACTGGGGAAACTGAGGCTCTCTTTCAGAGTTCTTAGTGTGTTTTGGTTGTCAAGGAGTGCTGGAGGGACCAGCAGAGCTCCCTAAGAGGTCTTAGCAAGTCCTACTTGGAGAACCAGGACCAGCACAGCTGATGGGAGAGGAGATCCGCTCCTGCTAGGCTTTTCCCCACCAGGTGCCAAGAGAGTGCAAAGGCCTCCAAGACTGAGTCTGTTCTGTTTCTTGGCTCTCTAGAGTGTGGTCACCATCCTGAGACTTCGCTCTCAGAGAACTCTGGGTACAGGCAGGGCACAGCTGCCTAGACAGAGTGAGATCTGATTACAAAAGATGAATACTAATTAAGCACATCACTTAACCTTGAGACAGTCAGCCCCCATCCTGGGATTGCCTTTATTCATCTTTTCACTGGACAGTGTGCAGAGCAGACTAAATCGTCAGTAATCTCTAAGATTACTGCCTCCCCAGCTCCACCCCCACTCCCGACCACTAAAGCGAGTGCTAATAGGAATCCGGGGTCCAGGCATCAGACAGGTAGTGGGAACAGAAGGGAGACAAAATGATGGACATCTCTTTTCCCCATGAGTAAAGGGAAGCCATGGTGTTAAGGTTAGGGGAACAAGGAGGGAGGAGAAATGAAAAGGAGGAATTGTTGAGGAAGGACAGAGACTGTGAGGGGCTAAAAGAAATGAAACAAGAGAAAACGGGCAGAAAGCAGCAGAAGCAATAAATTCTCAACCTCTTGGTGAGAAATCAGAGCTCAAAGAGAGATGAAAATTTCCGAAGCGGCATTTCCCAGAGAGCTCAGTGGGAATGTAAAACACCCTCTCTCCTCGGAAACTTATTATTCATGGCCTCACATAACATCAGACGTGTGCTCCGTGTCCAGCCATAGATAAGCGGGACACATTTGCATGATTGAAATGTCACCTAGATCTTGCCAATAATAAACTGGAGGAGACGTCCCAGAGGACCTTAATCGGATCCCATAGAAACCGTTCCTTCTTTACGAAGCTGTGTCACGGCTCCAGAGGCAGCGGGACCTGGAGAATGGAGCAGATAAATGAGGCGGATTAACATCTCATGCAATGGCCAACTTTATTCAGAGCGTTGGACGGTCTGTACTCTGCCTGTTAGGAAGTCACATGAGTGAAGTGTCCAGTCACAAAGGCAAGCCACACGTGGCAGACAAGCTGAGTGCAGCAAAACCATGGTTCTCCACAGAGGTATATTAAGTAAATAATAGCCAGCTGTAACGAATCCTCTGAAGTAAACCATTCCTATTCAATACACCTGGGAAGAGCATGAACGCACAAGCCAGGAGCATTCTGTGTTCTTGAGGAAACTGAGGTCACTGTGCGTCTGCCTTGTGCATCTGACCATTCAAGGCTAGCAGACACACAAACTGGTTCAAGGTGTTTTCATGTGTGTCACCTCCGTTATCCTCCTTGCTCCACTGGCATTCCTGAGGTGGGTATCCAAGCAGGGAGTCATTCTGAACACGAATGCAGGGAGTGCCTTCTGCCACAGGCTCAACTTCATCGTAGGTGCTGGGAGGCAAAAGCAAAGAGGGAAACAGTCTCTCTGTGGCGCTGACAGAGCAGGAGGGCAACAGAAGAGACTCGAAGCAATTACAGCGCCAGATGGAAAACAGGTGCTGTGGAGAAAAGTGAAGCATCATGGGAAGGTGCAAAGTCTGGCTGGGATAGGAAGTGGTTTGACACTGAACAGGACACTGAGAAAACGCCTCCTGGAGAAAGGGACGTGTAAGCGAAGAGGCGAAGGAAAGGAAGGATGGGGTCAGGTCCTGGGGAACCTGTCTGTTAGATGAGTCACAAGGAGGCTGATGAAAGTGCAAGGGTCGGACGGGCATGGTGGCAGCCGCCTTTAATCCCAGTGCTCAGGAAGCAGAGGCAGGGGTGAGTTCAAGGCCAGCCTTATCTACAAAGTGAGTCCAGGACAGCCAAGGCTACACTGAGAAACTCTTCTCAAACAAACAACAGCAAAACGATGCAGGGGTTAAAGCACGCAGGAGCCGGGTTAGGAAGCTGTTGCTGTGATCTCAGCCAGACAAGTGGAGGTGCTGAAAGTCGGGAGTCGGTAGGAAGATTGACAGGTGAGACGTGGTTTATGAAAGAATGGAGGACTGCAGGATTTTAAGTCTGAGTTCCTGGGAGGCTGGCGTTGTCCTAACACGAAGGTCTTTAGAGGTGTGATTTAAGTCGGGGAGAGAAGCCTGGCTCTTACTCCAGTTCCAGGAGATCCAGCATCCTCCACCGGCCTCCTCCACACGTACCAGGCTTGTGTGCAGTGCGCTTTAAATCTAGAAAAATACATACAAAAGATAATTTATAGCCAGTTCAATGTATAACTATTAGCTGTTCATCTTGGCCAGGGACCCGTACGGTCACAGCACACTTTACCAGATAAGGAATGTTGCCTTCTCTCTAGAAAGCCTCCTCCGGCCCCCTGGCTGACGACCGCCATACTAACCAGCCAGGTGTCGTGCTTAACTTTGTCACCTTGACGAAACTTAGCATCAGCTGGAAAGAAAGTTTCGGTGAAGGATTGTGTCGGTTAAGTGTGTGTGTGAGCGTGTCTGTGAGGACTTGTGATTATGTGAGCTGGTGGGGGAGATCAGTGTAAATGTGGGTCCTGAGCTGGGGTCATCGCGCCGTGATGTGTTTCTCACAGTACGTATGCGCGTATCCCTTTCTCTCTGCTCTTGGCTGTGCCCGCTGCAACCAGCCGCTTCCGCGCCCTGCCGTGCCACCCCTGCAGTGGTGGCCTTGTAGCCTGCAGTTGTGAGCTTACACTTCGGAATCTGCTGCCGCTCTGTCCGAAATAACTGATTCGGAGCCAGCTTAAGGGCGGGTTTCCCATCCTTTATATTTCCCTTGACGAGATGTCTGTTTAAATATCACCCCTGCCTCGAGCTGCCTTATTGTTATCCACAGGGGAAAATTGTATGCGCTTTAAAAACAAATCCTTTGTCAGATGTGTATGAATATTTTACCTGTGACTGGAGCTTATCTATGTGTTTTACAACAGTCCTTTTAAATAACTTCAGACGTTCAGAAAAATTGCAAAAACAGTCCAAAGAATTTCTGCATCGCCTTTTCTCATAACCCGTGAATGTTAATATTTCACCATGTCTACCTCTGTTTTTCCACATTGTCTCTCTATTTCTGTCTCTCACATCTACTCCATGCCATTTTGTTTGCTGACTTTTTGAGATAGGTTCTTGCTAAGTGGTCCAGGCTGGCTTTGAACTTGTGGCACTTTGCCCATCTCAGACTCCCATGTTCTGAGATTACAGATGTGTACCACCATTCACAGCTCAACATCTTTTCCCAAACCGTTTGAGACTAAATGACAGAAACTATATCATTTTATCTGTATTATTTCAATGAGAATTTTCCAAAAACAAAGACATTCTCTCACTTAGCCATAGTACATGATCCAAAATAGTACATTGACCCTGGCAGGGTTTTACAATCCGTGGACCTTGCTCTAAGCTTCCCGGTTGCCTGACAATGACCTTTACAGCGAAGGAAAAAAGTTGCAACATTTGGGACTCCGAACCAAGTTCAGTCTCCTCTGATCCGGACTATTTCCTCTTTCATTTATTCACTTACCATCTATGCTATAACTTTATAGGGTACCTGCTATGTCTTTCATGGACCAACCTCTTCATTTACTTGGTAGTATCCCTTGGCAGGGAGAGATTATTTTTTAATTTGCTAAAGTGCAGTTCATTGTTTTGGTGTTCTAAACTTTTTTTGTGTCCCTATGAAAAATTTACTTACTCTTAAAGTCGTGAAAATATTCTGGGGTTGTTTTTTTGTATGTGCATTTAAAATCTTGTTTTTATAATGGAGAGCAATTTTATTTTGGCTCATGCTCCAAAGTATATACAGTCTATGACAGTGGAAAAGCCACTGCAGCTGGAACTAGGAGCAACCAGACCCATGGGTCCAGGGATGCCTGCAGTCAAGAGAAAAAAAGCAACGAACACACACATTTCAGTGCTCAGCGCTTTCCCCACTCTTTCAAAACTGCTCATTTTTTAGTTTGGTTTATTTTTATTACTTCTCTAAGAATTTCTGTGTATTTTGGTCATAGTCACCCCTCTGCCTCAACTCCCTCCAGTTCACTCTCCCTTCCCTACCTACCCAGTTTGCAGTTTCTGTGTTGTTCAGCCACCAGGCCTGATTTGTGCTGTGTTTTTGGGTTCATAGCTTTCGGCCGAAGAGTGGTGGACATGCCCTTAAAGAGAATGGGCTCTCCCTTTCCCAGTAGCCACCAGTTGACAATAGCTCTGGGGATGGGACCTCTTGTCAACCTCCCTCTCCATACTGGGGTTTTGTCTGGTTTGAGCTTGTGTGTGCTGTCAAGCCAATCCAATCATATACAACCATCCTGTTGTGACAGGTATGGCTTCATCTTGTGGAGCAGATCTTAAATTTAATAACAAAGCGGCTTGGCTACTCCCATGGCATTCCTGCCGTTATTACACTTGTGGCCATGTCTTTCCAGACTGGTCATTTATGAGGTTTGTGGGGTTCACAGGTGGGTAAGCTTGACAAATATTTTTCTCTTCTAGTAGCCTGAATACACGGAAAGCTATTGGCTCTTTCTCTAAAATTCATTTCTGTTGATGTGTTTGTGAGTGTGCCTGCTTGTCTGTGCATGTACTGTGTGAGTGCAGGTGTGGGGGGGGCAGATGAGGGTGCTGGGTTCCTTGCAGTTGGAGCTATAGGCATGACATGAACGCTGGGAACAGAACCAGGCTCTCTGCAGGAACAAGTGCACTTAAACCAGTCATCTTCTCACCAGCCCCCTGGCTTGTGGTAGGTCTATTTCCAATCTGCCACAAACTAATTTCCCTTCACAGGTAAAGCATGGATTGCCATTGACTTTTGTCTGTACCTATCCAGGCATTTTAGAACATTTCCTAAAGATGAGTTCCCTCTCCCCATTGACTTGTGTTCTAGTTTGCTTCCTGCTTCTGTGATAAATACCCTTATCAAAAGCAACTTGCGGAGGGACAGGCTTACAGGCTACAGTCGCTCCTCAGAGGAAGCCAAGGCAGAAACCAAAGCCGGGATGGTGCGGACCGATACTGGATGGCTTCCCTGCTTCCCTGTGTAAGCTACCTTCCTTACACAGCCCAGGCCCACCTGCCCAGTAATGGGCCCACCCACAGTGGACTGGGCCCACCCACACCAATCAGCAATCAAGAAAATACCCTGCCCAGACCTGCCCACAAAGCCGATCTGATGGGGACACCCCTCAGCTGAGGGTCCCCTCTCTCAGGCATGTCTAGGTTTGTGCTAAGTTTACAAAAGCTAACTATAGCAACTTTTCTGGGGCCTTTATCAAAATCAGTTGAACATATAATATATATACATGGATCTTTTGCTATTTCACTTGACTAACCTGTTTCTTAAGGCAATATCACTCACTTTGGATTATTGCAGCTTCATGCAGAATCTTGAAATCCTCCATCTGTGTTCCTCTTTTCCAAGGCCATTTTGTGTAACTGTCTCCTTTGATCTTGTATCAAGTTCCAGAATGCAGTTTCTTGAGAAACACCCACCGGGCGCTGGGCAGGGATCACATGGAATCAGCAGTTCAGTGTGCAAGTTTCTGAGACTCCACAACACCCCACGTTATACACAGCATGGTTCCATCCAGAGTAAGTGCTGGGCTTCCTCCCAGGGGACTGCTTGGTCCCGTGGAAGTCCCATCTGTAAGCTTCACTGTGTACCACCTGCTGTTAGACCACAGCACAACTGGGATTGATGTATTAACTGTCAGGTGAGATTCACTTTCTGGTTCCACAGTTTTACTGCTCAGGTTTTCTACATGGATGAATGTGCTGTCTGCCAAAACTAGCCATCTTCTCACATCAGTGTCTTTGCTTTTCCTCTGTGCTGTGCGTGCTAAAAACCTCAGCGCAGAGGTAAGCAGAGGTATGGGAAGTAAACACCCTTGCTTTGCTCCAAATTTCATGCATGATATTAACAGCGTGAATGACTTTTATCAAGTTGAAAATGTTTCTATTTTTTTTTTTTTTGAGAGGGGGGTTGGATTTTTAAGATAGGGTTTCTCTGTGTAGCCTTGGCTGTCCTGGACTTGCTATGTAGACCAGGCTGGCCTTGAACTCACAGAGATCTGCCTGCCTCTGCCTCCCCGAGTGCTGAGATTACAGGTGTGTGCCACGACCGCCGGCTCTTCCTTTTATTCTTAATTTATTGCGTTAACACACACACACGCACATACACAGGTGTGGAACTTTGTGCAATAAACTGGACAACCCAAAATCCTAAACTGCCGTTTAAGACAGGCTCCTGCGCAGAAGAGATGGCTCAGCGGTTAAAAGCATTTGCAGCTCTTGCGGAAGGCTCAGTTTCAGCTCCCAGAACCCAGGCAGCAACTCACAGCCATCTGTAACTCCAGTTTCAAGGGATCCGACATGTCCTGAGGCCTCTGAGGGCTCTCTGTGCATTGGCATGCATGCAGAGCCCACACAGGCAGGCAACACACTCAGACACATAATATAAATCTTTTAAAAAAATGGCTTCTCACCCTTCTTTGTATAAAAAAAGAAAAAAGATGTCCTGGGTTGTGGGTGTATATCACAGAAACCAAGATTTAGATTAGTATAAAATTAACTATGTTTTTTTAAGTGACAGTAACATAAAAGAACTCTTCATGGCACCATAGAGCTGAAAGGAGTAGCCAGGCAGACCTCTCCTCGAGGCTAGCACAAACATCAGTGAAACAGGCATCTTTGTAGCCCAGTGGACCAAAAGGAAGATGGCTGCTTTGCACAGGCCAGAGCTGGCCTGCAGTCACTGAGCCTCAGGAAGCAGCCCCCCTAGGTTGCAGTTCTACAGGGTCGGGGGGGGGGGGACAAGCCTGGGAGGGGCCGCATGGAAGCAGAGGGGGCTGAGAAACTGGGGTAGGGGGGACCTGCAGCAGGCAGGGCTGTCTTTACTACAGCGGCTGCAGGGCTCAGACCAAGATGCAGCTGACCACTGACCAGGGATTGCGCCTTCAGACCGTGGCCAGGACAGAGCGCCACCACTCTCCTCATTCCTGCTTTCTCCTGGAGGATGCCACCCCACAAGCATCAGGGGAGCCCTCTTCTGCCCCCTGTCACTCCAGGTTCCTCTACTGAGAAACTTCAACACTACAAGGAAGAAAGTCTGTAGAAATTCTGTCCAGTGCTATGGAGTAAATACTGAAGGGTGAACCTGGGACCAACAATGAACTGATAACCTGAGACAGTGCAGCTAAATAGTTGACCTCCCCAGAATTCTCTTACAAAATTCTGGAAAAGAAATGGATTCATTTCCTTCCTTTCTTTCTTGCTTGCTTTTTTTTTTTTTTTTTTTTTTTAAATATATGGGGAACCTGAGTCTCACATTAAATTTAAGTTTGCTCAAATTTAAAGGAATTTCAAGTTAAATTGTGTAGGCCTTATATCAAAATAGCCAGTTATATTATTAAACAATATTAAATTGTACTAGAAATAAAAACATAGAAGAGCAGCAAAAAAAGGTTAGACCCCAGAGAGTTAGCAGAGTTGCACATTTCTAGGCTTTCAACGAGTGAATTAAAGAGGGAATACGTAATCTGTACTCAAATCTCAAGAACAATTATCAGGACTCAAACAGATGGGAGCAGGGCAATGGTTTCATGAAAGAAAACAACAAAAAAAGTCTGTTAGTATTACGCTAAAATCTCATGAAAATTGGAAGAGAAAATATGAAAGCTTAAATGTTAGTGGGAAAGGAACATGAATAGAAGATTCACAAAGTATTAATCAGCATAAGAAGTAGATGAGAAAATTTCAACTTGCTCTTATTGAGATGCAAATTATAACTGTAATAGTAACTGTAGTGCATTTTATTTGAAAATAAAATAGACGTTTGTTTAATATATTTATTGGAACTGGGAAGTGAGTGGTGGCCATAGAAATTGCTGGAACATCTAGGTTTGGATGTTTATGTTCTTGGAGTGACTCTACCTCTGGGAGACAAACAGAAGAGTCTATGCATGTCTTTAAGATAGTTGTGAAACAGAGTAGAAATAGGAAATAACGTGAACAACTGCTTAAAATGATCAGGAGTTGGGCTGGAGAAGTGGCTCAGCAGTTTAAGGGCTTTTACTTACAAGGACCAAAGTTCAAGTTGCCAGCACCCGCATCAGGCAGCTCTTAAGCACTCCAGCCCTAGGACAGCTGACATCCTCTTTTGGTCTCTACAGACACCCATGCACTTACACACACACAATATATATTTTGAAAAATCAACAATTGTGGGGCTGGAGAGACAGATCTGAGGTTAAGAGCACTGGCTGTTCTTCCAGAGGTCCTAAGTTCAAATCCCAGCAATAAATGGTGGCTCACAACCATTTATAATGATGTCTGGTGCCCTCTTCTGGTGTGCAGGTGTATATGCTAGACAGAACAGTATTTACATAGTAAATGTTTTTTTTTAAAAAAAACAACAATTGTTAATTTTGTTCCATTATGTAAGTCATTTGAACATGATCATGGCCAGTGATAAATTATTTGGCCATAGCTGTAACTCATGGGAAGCTAGTGAACCGTGATAGGCTCATCAAAATATAAGAAATAATTAAATTTGAGCAACAAAAATATATTTATTTCATTGTTGCCATCATCGTGAATGAGTATAGTCCTCCTCAGGCCCTCAAGACATGGATGGAACTTTAACTCTTTCAATCTCATTCACTGTTTTTGCCTTCTGTCTTTCAAACTACCAGTTAAATGTGAGAAATAGACAGTATTATCTGTTGCTGCCTGAGAAAGGGTGGGGAAAATGGGCTTTTTTCACCCCTTCTGGCTGGGAATTCCCACAGCATAACTTTCTGCTGTTTCTCATAAAACACTTATTTCACAAGCTGCCTTATCACCAGCCAAGGGTCCAGACCTCTACCCAGACTAGGCACTGCCCCTCCCTTGCCCATAGCTGAGCTTATCTGCCTACAGTGCCGCTTATCTTCTGTTAATCTGATTACCCCCTTATCAGCGTGTGTGTGTGTGTGTGTGTGCACGCACGTGCGTGTGCGCGCACATGCGAACATGCCTCAACACAGCCAGAAGAGCCATAAGACCCCAGCAGAAACACCTGTGCTTTTGCCCATGGGACACAATTTAGGTGCTTTCGAATCAACCTATAAATCCCGGGTCTTTGGCACATCTACGTCTGTTTGAACGAGAAAGATTTCACATAATTAGAGTGGTAAAAACATTAATTCTTCTGTTGTTTTTTTTAAGCAATATATATTGCTTTCAAGTATCTATGTTGTACCCAGACTCAGTAATGAGTTATGGAGACTGGGAAGACAGGCAAAGTGCTGGCTGCACCCGCCTGAGGGCTGCACCTGGAACTCGAGGCCCAGCAGCGTCCACCTGCAGCTGAAGCAGACTGGGCAGAGACGGGAGGAGTCCCAAGTACGGCTGGACAGCCAGCTCAGCCAGAAAGTGAGCTCTGGGCTCAGAGAGACTCTGCTTCAAAAGCAGGCAGTGATAGAGGAAGATACCCGGCCTTAACCTCTGCCCTCCCCACACACACAGACATGGGCAGCTGTGTGCATACACCCATGTAACACACACATTTGTTTACACAGCAAAACTGAATGAATGCTAGCTATGTGAAATACCTCTGGACACTAGTAATCTAATGTTTGCTATTGATAACAGCAAATCTCAGAAGACAACACAGACCGTTGTTACCTAAATTTCCTACTTACCCTAAATTTCAAAAGCTAAAATCGACAGGGTGTCCCGTAAACACACATGGGCACACCTACCCACTGGGCACAGCGAGTGCTTATCCTTTTATCTCTACAGCACCTAACTCTCAGCTGGACAGAACCAGTCATGTCACGGACCCATGTTCCAGTTTCCCTCTGCTCCTGGTGGCTGGATGCTACTTTGAGCTCCCTCTCTATCACTCTGGCCTGGCCGGCCTGAGGCTCAAGCTCCTCAGAGTTCACCTAATCCCCACATCTCCCTTTGCAGTCTCAGTGCTCCCTCAGGGGAAAAAAAAGGAAACAGTGTTTTCTCCACTGTTCCCTTCTCACAGGGGTCTATCTGACACTCAGCTTGGAGTTTCTGAAGATCTCCCCGGGTCTCCTGGTGGCATAGGACAGGTGGGGCATCCCCTTAACTCTCTTGGGACTGCTTGGTACTGACCGAGTCCTACATGTTCACAGAAGATTAGTAGTTTCCAAACTGAGACAGGTGCGGCTGCTTCTTCCTCACCGAGTCATTCCTCAGTGAGGCTTTGGCAATAACACATGTCCCCAGAGGATGGTCCACCTGAGTGGGTCTTGAGACACATCTGACCTTTTGTATCCTAGGACCTTGCTACCAGACACCTCCTGCAGCTGAATTCACAGGAACATACCTTCAGGCTTTGTCTAACCATTCCCTGTCTCAGGTTATCCTTTTTTTTTTTTTTTTTTTTTTTTTTTTCCAGTGCTGTGAACGTTGGTACCTAAGGGGCAGTTTCATGCCCAGGGCTGTGTTAATCACACTTCATCAGAGCAGCACAAGTCTCCATTTCATGGTGGATTCTGTAAGGTCTTAGCTTCCACACCTCTCCTTGAGTCTTAGAAATGGTATCCGGTTCAGAAACCAACAGACAAGGGCTCTTTCCTTTTGCAGGATGCATGGTAACCACTGCATTTTCCAAACTGGGGCGTTAAGATCCTTTTAGAGCTCTGTAATGTTTCCAGACAGCAGAGGACAGCTGATGGCTTCCTGCCTTTGCTGAGGAGAGGCCAGTGCTGAACAGCTTTAATTTGTAGCATAAATCACTGGTATGGAAGGAAACGAATTGTTTCCTGAGCGCAAAGATGAAACAGTTGCACATGATAGCTGAGCTGTGTCAGAGATTCTCTGGAATGTGAAGGCTAAGCCTCTTGAGAAGCCATGCCTTACAAACTCGTGCCTTCTCATGTGTTGAATTAATTTTAAGTTCCTTCTTAGAACATAAACTGTAAAAACAAGCATTCTCCACATCACCCATTTTCATGGCTTTGATTTGTTTTTTGTTTTGTTTTGTTTTGTTTTGTTTTTGTTTTTTTTCTGTTTGTTTGATTAGTTTTGGGGTTGAGTTTGCTTTGTTTGTTTCTTGTCATGTTCTTTTCTGGTATTCTGAGACATAGTGGCTAAGGCTGTGCTAGAACTCACAACGCAGCGCAGGCTGCCCTTCAAGTCCTCATGCTGTCTAAGGGCAACGATTACAGGCATGAGGCTCTACATCTGGCTTCAGCTCCGCTTCGCTCGTTTCTGTTTCTCTATCCGAATCTCCTGAACCTAAACAGCTCTTCAGAGAACTGTTCTGTTTTTATGGTGAGTGCACGGGGGCACACGTGTGTGCTCACTCATCTGTTTTCCTAATTCTTAGTTTTCCAGTGAGGGCTATGGGCTTCAGTTTGTCTTTTGTGTACCTCATTAGCTTGAAGACTATGCTGTCTGAAGATGATCTACCACAGGAAAAGGCAATTTGATGGGTGTTTTCAGGAAAATTCATAGAAGCACCTTGGAGACGTTCCAGTGTGCTAGTTGCTGTAGAATCTGCTTTTGTGGCTTTTTTTTTCTTTGTGGTATTGGTCATGAGAACCTGGAACTCAAGACACTGCCCAGCCCTTGTCAAACAAGAAGGTTCAGTTTGCCCCTGAGATGGCTACTATCAGTGATGCAGTGATGAAGAGATGGAATTCAATCTTTCCTCCTCCTCTTCCCCTTCCTCCTCCCCCATCTTCTCTTCATCTTCCTCAACCGTCCCAGCTGGAGGTTGAACCTAGGGCCTCCCACATGCTAGGCAAGTATTCTACCCCACAGGTCAGTAACCTTAGCAATGGTGTTCTGTATGCCCGTGCCCACTGTGTGTAGGTTTAATTTCAGGAACTGCAAGAGTTTATTGTAAAAGAAAGTTCTTATCTCTAAGGACAGTTTAAATCCCTTTGAATTCAATACAGAGCAGAGAATACTGGCTGGGTTGGTGGGTTTAAAATTTTGGTTCTCAGAGTCTAGATTGGTGGTTCTCAACCTTCCAAATTCTGCAACCCTTTAATACAGTTCTTCATGTTGTGGTGACCCCAACCATAACATTATGTTTGTTGCTACTTACTGTGATTTTCACAGTTGTGAATTATAATGTAGATATTTGCTATGCAGGATATCTGATATGAGACCCCTCAAAGGGTTCAAGACCTACAGGTTGAGAACCGCTGGTCTAGAGTCTGGTCTAGAAGGAACCAAAAACTGCAAGAATATACATGCCAAGAGAAACACACACACACACACACACACACACACACACACACACACACACACCTTAAAAGTCTAGAGCCTTGCTCCTTACTCAAAGTGGACTACTGGAAGCCATCTGTGGTGGCCACTCGAGATCAGGAGAAAGTCCAAAGCTGACAGCTAAACTTTGGCTTTCTTACTTTCTGGACACCTTCTCGTCCTCTGGAGGAGACTTGAAAACAAAGGAGCGACTTCTGCCAGTGTCCGACTTCCTTTGACTCTGAGGAGCCTCAGCTGACCCTCCCCTGTCTGCTACTCCGCCCGCTGGCCCCAGAAGACCGTCCTGCCGGCGGGGAGCTAAGGAGCAGAAGTCAGAGCTGCTGCCCAGAGGGAGCGAGCAGACGCCCTTCGAGATCCAGGAGCGCTGAAAGCCCAAAACTTTGACGGGGTAAGGACTTCAGGGGGCTTGAGCTGGCCGTGGCAGGGGCGAGATCCTCTGGGAATGCAGAGTCCAGGCTGGATCTGGGCTGGCGCCCCGCGGGTCCGGGTCGGGTGTGAAACGGCATGGCGCTGTCCGCAGCCCTCGGTGCTGAAACCAGTTCCGTCTGGGCGGAAGGGAGACAGAAAGAACCGCCTGCCTGTCCCCACCCCGCCAGAGCGGGACGACAAAAGCCAGGACCCTCAGTGCTCCTCATGGAATCCCCTTCCTGCAGCCTCGCCGAGCTCGGCCCTAGCTGTCGAGGCGCCCAATGGAAAGGGCTAGGCTGGCTCTGCTGGGACAGGACTGGGTCCAACCGTGAGTCCTCTGTGACACCTGCAGCGCTGTACCCAGAGGCAGCAGCTTTACTGCCACTAAATCAGGGTCCCCCACGTCCCTCTGGCTCACCAGGTTAGCGTCTCCCAGAGCTTAGACCTCGCTGGGGACCCTGGGGGCGAGGATTTGGAAGGAGTCAGTCTGAGGCTGCAAACAGGGAATGTGAGCCACCTCTTTAGGTGGACTGTGGAAGGAGTGAGGAATTTGCTTTAAGAAGGAAGTGTCTTGCTTGTTGTTTTAATGATAAAATTATGCCTGACTTAGCCTCAGGGCCATAAGGCTTATTGGCTAGAATGCAGGGAAGGGAGGGTGGCCCCTGATCCCTTAAAATCCTCTTATCTCATAAGGTGTCTGTCCTCCGGGTTCGCCCAACAGCTCAGCACCTCCCCTTGTCTTCCATCCCATCCTCCACTCCCAGCCCATCCCTGAGGCCCTGAGGTTGCTGATCTGCTGGCCACTCCAGGCTGGGACTGGGAGCTAGGCAGTGGGGAGAGCTTATCCAGTTTTCTTCCTCATCCTCTCCCTCTGTTGGGACTTTAATCGCCAGAGGCAAGCTTCTTCCTAGGCAGAGCTTACATCCTGAAAGACGGGACTTACGCAGAGCGGCTTGGAGCCTGCAGCCTTGACTAAGTGTCAGTGAGACCTAGTTGCTCAGGACTTTTCCCTGTAACTCTACCCTGGGTCCCATGTGGGTGGTCATCTGGGCTGAGACTGGGGTCTGCTTCGCCCACCCCCACCCCCAGTCCCTCAAAGCCTTGGACAGTGGCCCACCACCTGGATGCAGCTCAGATCCATGCCAACATCCTCTGGGAAGCATCTTCCTCCACGCCGTACGATATCATCCATCAAAGCGGACAGTGAGACAGTTGTCTGGTTAGAGACTCACTGACTGCAGTGTGTTCTGCTGCCCACACCTCCTCCTGAGCGAGAATTCCCGGGAACGAGAGCCCGTAGAAGGTGGGAGCCAGAGAGGGAGGTGCCCACCACGACCCAACCAACCTTCTGGTTTGTAGGAGATGTAGTCACAGCATGGTGGAACATAGTAGGCATCTTAGCTGGGTTTTAAGGGACCCTCTGGTGTGAGTGGAGGTAGGTGCGACATTTGCTCCACTTCCCACCAAGGTCCAGACACGCTCTTCCTCTTTAACCTCTGTTCAGTCCCCGGAGGGTCATGGCCCTGGCTGCCAGGAACGGCTGCTCCCTGGTGGTGTCCATAGGACACAGTATCTCCAGTCCCTTTCCCTGGAACTTTGGCCAGGACTTTGTGTGCCTCCTGCCTTTGATGCACTTGGTTTTATGCCCATTTCATTCTCATTCACTGTCTGCTGGAGAATATGCGGCTGGTTAAGAATGGGGTTGCTATGGTGACAAGTCTCAGGTTGCCAAGGTACCCAGAGGTAAACAGTTGGAAGGTCGCTCTGACTGCCAGCTCCCTGCAGGAGTAGAAGGGGGCCGATAACCAGGTCCCAGAACCTGCTCTGACCTGCCCCCAGCATGCTGCGCACTTGAAATCCTCACTAACCCCCATCACAAAGCCTCAAGGTTGAGATGGGTCAGTCTTCTCTACATCCCCCCCCCATTACACACCCTGGGGCTGGACACAGGGGAGAATGGTTTCCCTCTGGTCTCACTTATTTCATACTGATGACACCTGAGTACAAAACAAAGTTCAGTGGGAGAAGCAGAATTAAATTAATTAACAGGCACAGTCCCTGCCCTGGGGGACTTCCCTGTACAGAGATGAGGCTTCCAGCACCATGAGCGGCCTGTTTCCTAGACGGAAGTAGGCATAACAACAGCCCTGAGGCTCTATAGATGTCGGGGGTTATTCCTGTCGGAGGGCCTCTTTGGGAAGGTCATCTTGAGACTAACTGCAAGTTGAAGTTGAAGAAGAGCAAAGGGATTAGGGGGAAGTCCCAGCGGTGATCGATGAGATGGGAGGCCTGGAAACAAGACGGCAGCACTGCGGTGTCCTAGCCTGAGACCCACTGCAGCACGGGTGCTATGAGGTATTGGGACCCTACATCATGGGTTCCTGAGAAGAGAAATGTGATTAGAGCTATCTTTCTGAAAGACCCTATGGCTACTCTTAGAAGTTCATTCATTCATTCTTTTATCCCAAACTCATTGAGAACTTCCCTGTCCTAGGTTCCCTCTAGATGGATTTCAGGAGTGAAGTTCTCGGAAGAGTGAAGGGCATTCCAACAATTCTAGAGAGAGGGACAAGGGACTACACAAAAGTGGGGCTTGGACAAAAGCATCTAGGAAGCTGCCTCTCACTGATTCCCAGCTGTATACCCCTGCCTAGGTGAGCCCCTCGCTGGCTCGTCCTCAGGCCATGTCTGCAGCAGTGAATGGTGGACAGGGCAGAAGGCATCATCGTTGGTTAATTTGTGGTGCCTGAATGGACTTGGAAATGCTGTCCCTGAGGCAGTAGGGAATGGTGAGTGAAGGCTCGCAACCTCAGCTGAGGGCTAGCTGGCTCTGACCATCTTCCAGGTTTCGACCTGAGCACAGCACGAGTGCATGACCCGGAGCGCTTCAGAAGGGCACCGTGACATGTGGGAGAATGCTTTCCCAGGAAGTCCCCTTCGTAGAGCCCACACGATGCGCAGAAGTGAACTCCCAGGACCACCTCTGTCCTCTGCAGGACTTCCTTCTATCTCTCGCCTCATGCTGCACTGGAGGAGACAGAGTCAGACAAGCCTTTTCTCATTCACTGCACAGCCCCACCACAGGGTGACCTGGGTTGAGCTCTTTAACCATTCTGAATGCCAGCTTCTGTAACCTTAAGCAATACTTTCATTTGATTGTTGGGAGGAGTCTGTCCTTTTCTCCTGACATGTGAGTCCCAGGACTTCAGACTTGGCAGCGATCACCTGTCCCCACTGAGCCAGCTGTTCTGAAGTGAAGGCTTTTATAGTTCCAGAGCTTAGATAGAACCATCAGTATTTCCAGCCATGGCAAGTTATTGCTTTCATAGTCATACCCCGAAGGCTAATTAGCAGCAAATGCATGCTGTAGTTGCATGATGAAATCACCCTTGGGGAAGGGTCCAAGGCTTCTGGCCTGGCCTTACTAGTTCTGGATATGGGGCAGGGAAGACAGTAGTTTTCAAGGGACCAGCAATAGGCTGACTACTGGGATTTGGCTTCCTGACTCTAGGAGAAGCTGGGAACTACTTTCATCTTTTTGTAATACCAATTCAGACAGCTGGCTTTTATCACAAAGCCTTGTGAGTATGCTTGGACCTGTGGAACCCATGGCCCTGGTAATTCCAGTCATCCCTGGAGAAGATCAAGACACTTCCTAAGCATAAGACAGGCCTGTGCCTCCTGGACTAACAACCATAATTGGTAATCTCGTTCCAGTGTCAGAATGTTCTCTTTCACCCCCAGTCTCTTCCTGTTCCTGGAAACAGTGCTCGTTTCTCTTCTCAGGCAGAAGTTGAAAATCTGCAGCTGGTCTGTGGAAGCTTCTTGCTTCTGTCATGAAAACGCCTAGAGTTTAGAAGAGGGAGGATCCCACCAGCACCATTTCCTCGGGAAACAGCTGAGCTCTCCTCAGTCAAGCACACTGCCTTTGTCTTACTGCGGGGGCAGGCTTGGGCTTCGGGTGTCCAGACACTCTACAAAGACATCGCCTTGCTTTCTCACCTTCCATCTCAGCCCTGAGCATATCCCAGCACATCCTGATGCACCTTTCTAGGACCTGAGGCATTCTTTGGGACCCTGACAGCAGGTAGAGGAGGTTGTGATATTTATTAATGCTGACTAATTGGGCAGTCCTAGGTATTCGAAATCTCTACCCCAGATCACCGATCTGCAAAGGAAACAGCACTGATGCCAGAGTTATCCGTGGGATTAAACTAGTTGAAGTAAAAGTAAAAGTTTGTAGTGTGGTGCCTAGCACAATCCATTCTTGAATTGTTGTGGTTGTTGTGGTGGTGGTGGTTGTATTAGCTCCTTTTCTGTTGCTGCAATAAAACAGCACAACCAGGACAAACTTACAAAATGAAGAGAGTTCAACATGGTGGAAAGGCATGGCATATACTCTCAAAGCCCACCCCAGAGGCATGCTTCTCCCAACAGGGCTGGAGCTCATAAACCTCTTCAAATAGCCTCACTAACTGGAAACTAAGTGTCCAAATACACAAGCTTGTGGGGGACACTGTCCTGAAACCAGCATGATGCTGGTGGTGCTGGTGATTGGGGTGATGGTGATGATGGTGGTGGTGATAGTGATGATGGTGGTAATGATGGTGATAATAATGATGGCGGCTGGGAGGATGGTGATGGTGATAATGGTGATGGTGATGACCAATGTGGTATGCAGGCTCCTCTCTCACAGAGCAGCGGAGGCTGCAGAGACATGGCGAGTTGGAGAGGTGAAACTGGGAGGCCAACAGCCTTTTAAGCCTTTTAAGCACTAAAATGGAAAGCACAATGGCAGAGGGGGCTTGGAACCTTGGTGGCTTCATTGTGGTTGTTGTTGTCATGGACCTGGTAACAACGCAATCACTCTTTAATGGTGATCACGCTTCTCCAAGCCCTCTCTAAGGCAGTTCAAGGAGAAAGTGGAGAGAAAGCCAAGGGATGGAATGCTAAGTTACAGGCAGTGAAAATGAAGGAAGG